TGCAAGTGACTCTAAACATAAACGATAGTCAATCCATCAATGTCCATCAGCTTAAGGATCCCTTTAAGAGTAGCCTCTACAAATGCACAAAGTAAAGAAAGAAAAGGTTACTGATCAACAAGCATCTCTTTTCTTCACAACATTCTGCAGCACTTACTTACAACACCTCCAAGCCATTTCTATACATTGAAGTTGAACAAATATGTTGTGAAGATCATGAGTCCACTTTATTCGCGGTTTATTTGAGCTTTCTGCTCCTGTTTGAACATGATTAGGATAAGTACTAGAGTTGATCCCAAATGAAGAGCTTGGTTTCAGAAGCTGGGTGTTGAATGATTGATAGCCAATCTGAAAGCACAAGTATGAAGTCCCCAATCACTACCATTTTGTCTAAATGTTTGGCACAATGTTATATAACCTACATGAAACAAAAATGATTTAAAGAAATTTATTTGAAATTACTAAGTGATTTTGAAGCTTGCTTAGATTAACATATTTCAAGGTGATTTTTCTGTTGACTTCTGCATGAATGGTGTAACACCACTTCCTATAGAATTTCCATATGAATTTTAATGGATCCTTTTTAGAGGAATTGGAATTCTGATTGTTTTGGAGGTGAAATTTAACCAGTGGTTGAAGATCAAACTTGTCAAATACTTTTGAATCTTGGTTAAAATATTTATACAATGGAATAGTTGAAATATGATCTCTTGACACTTGAGACACGTAGGTAAGCCATCAATGTCCTCTGAATGCCCTTGTGAATATCCATTGTACTTCTCATCAATTGCAGAGGATAATGAAACGACAGGCAGTGAAAATTTGCTAAAAATGATTCCTGATGTGTTATAAGTTCCTGGATTCAACTTGGTTGAGCTTCCCCTACTTCTAATAACTGAGACTAGAAGCAAAGTCCCATTTTTCCAGTCTACTCGTAAGTCTTTCTCTTTTGAATGTTAATTTATACTACACAAAAAAACTTTTGACAAACACAAGAAGGAACTATAATTTTTTTCTTGCTTGGGGATGAACTCTACAGCAAGAAATTAAGAAAAAAATATCAGAAAAGAGAGGAGGAGCAACAAACAACGACATGAACTCATATACTTATAATAAGGAGTTTCTTTTTTCTCTATATCTGATGTGCAAAGCTCCAATGTAATGTTGACATCAATGCATGATACTATTTGATCATTCCAAGTCAGATAGGAATAGGAACAATTGCTTTTAATACATTCAAAGTTTCAAACACTTAGAAAATAATTGTTCCAACAAACATCCAACTTGATAAGTCATATTATTTACTTGGATAAATCTTCAAGAGCCTGAACTTGTTACTGATAACATGAATCTCAATGAATAAACAAATGAAGACCAACCCTAGGGTATAGTTGAAATTAATTGATGTTCTTAAGCATGAATGCACAATTGCAGACTTTAAGGCTCTATAAATTTTTGGGTGTTCTTGTTAAAGCAAGTATATCTTGTTGGAAACATGAGAATGCGATTTGAAGGCTTGCCCAATCTGAAGCTTGTGATCAAATGTGCAAGATAAGATGGATGCGAGTTGTAGGATGATATGATCGATAACAGTCTGAAGAGCATGTGACCTAAAGGGCATGGGATTTAGAAGTAGCAACCAAGAGGTAATGTGACCGGGAAGCAGTGCAAGCAAGAATCCATGTGACCAAATGTGCATGCGATCAAAAGCGTTATGCGATCTGAAAAAGGTCGATGATTCAGAGCCTATCTAGAAGGTGTCAGAGTTGGTCAACTACCTAGAGTGGTTTAGTTGACTTTTAGGGATGTTAAGTCTAACATATTTTATGTTAAGTAAGAATGTATGGCTTTGTGATAATATCTTGTAAATATCTCTATAGATTAGGTTAGCATTTAATGCTTAGCAGAGTTAGCATGTCTGTGATTTACATGATGATGTAATCAACTTAAATATAAGTTTTTTTATGATTAATGAAAAGCAGACAAGTAAGACAAGACAATTGAAACGAAAAACACTTAGCAAACATTCTTTGAAAAACTTGTCTATGAGAATATCCTTGCGTTCTTTCCTTTGTATTCTCTAGTAGCCAATCAAAGGCCTATAGAGTCTTCAATCCAAACACGAACAAGATTCTGATCTAAAGAGATGTCAAAGTTGATGAGATGTCAGTTTGGAATTGGAAAGCAAAAGGGTTGAAGAAGAAAGAAGGCCTCAGCAGAGCGAGGTCGCTAATGACCTGAATGAAGCTGAAGAAGATTTAGATGTTGATAAAGAGTTATCAGTTAAAAGGACCAAGCCTCTAGTTGAAGTATATGAGAGGTGCAATATAGCCATATTGGAGCCTACGAGCTGCATTAAAGTTGCGAAGTCAAAAGAATGGAGAGTTACGATGAATGAGGAGCTGAATATGATCGAGAAAAATGATCATCCAAGTTAAATGGATCTTCAAGACAAAACTAAATCCTAATGGATCAATCAACAAATACAAAGCTTGATTAGTAGCCAAGGGCTACACTCAGTAATATGGAGTAGACTTTTCGGATGTGTTTGCTCCAGTCGTGAGACATGACACGATCAGACTCTTCATCGCGTTAATAGCTCAATTCAAACGGAAGATATACCAGTTAGATGTCAAGTCAACCTTCTTAAATGGCTACTTGGACAAAGAAATTTATGTGGAGTGACCAAAAGGCTCTATAGATAAAGGGGGCGAAGATAAAGTCTATCTTCTGAAGAAGGTTTTGTATGGTTTAAAGCATGCTCCTTGACCTTGGTATAGCCGAATTAATGAATATTTATGCAAGCTCGGTTATACAAGAAGCCTCAACGAACACACTCTCTATGTGAAGAAATTAGATAGCAATCGATCTCATTATAGTCTCCTTATATGTCAATGACTTGCTAGTAACTAGAAACAATAGAAACAATCTTGATAGAGTGGACCAATTCAAGAGAGCAATGCATAAGGAGTTCAAAATGACAAATTTGGGAGAAATGACCTATTTCCTTGGGATGGAGATACACCAATCTCCAAATGCCATATTTGTCTGCCAAAGAAAATATGCAAATGAGATCTTGAAGAAGTTTAACATTGAGAGTTTTAATCCAGTGAGCACTCTACTGGTACAAAATGAAAAGTTATGTAAAGAAGATGGAGGTTGCAAGGTCAATGAAAGCAAATATAGAGCTTGATAGGTTGCTTACATCACTTGAAAGCAACCAAAAGGGTGCTCAGATATGTCTAAGGAAGTGTAGACCTCGGGATATGTTACAGAGCGTTTGAAGACTTCAACTTGGTAAGTTATACTAATAGCAACCAGGGCAGGATCAGTTGAAGATATGAAAAGCACATTGGGGTATGTGTTTTTCTTAAACAAATGAGTGTTCAGTTAGATGTCTAAGACGCAAGAGACAGTGGCTCAATCAACTGCGAAAGCAGAATACATCGCTACAGCAGCTCCAGTGAATCAGGCAATCTGGCTAAGAAAGATCCTTAGGGATGTGAAGCTAGAATGATGTGAGCCAACAACGATCTTCTATGACAACCAATCTACTATTGCAATGGCCAAGAACTTGATGTTTCATGGCCGATCAAAACATATAAAGATCAAGTATCATGTTGTTCGAGAAGCTGAGCAAAACAAAGAAGTGGAGATCGTTCATTGTCAATCTGAAGAACAAGTAGTAGATATTTTTACTAAGACTTTATGCAAAGCCAAGTTTGAAGAGTTCAGATTCAAACTTGGTGTTTCCAGCAAAGATATCAAGGAGGAGTGTTAAAGCAAGTGATATCTTGCTGGAAACATGAGAATGCGATCTGAAGGCTTGCCCGATCTGAAGCTTGCGATTAAATGTGCAAGATAAGATGGATGGGAGTTGTAGGATGATGTGATCGATAACGATCTAAAGAGCATGTGACCTAAAGGGCATGCGATTTGGAAGTAGTGACTAGGAGGTAATGCGACCTAGAAGCAATGGAAGTAAGAATCTATACGACCAAATGTGCATGCGATCAGAAACATTATGCAACATAAAAAAGGTTTACGATTTAGAGTCGATCTAGAAGGTGTTAGAGTTCGTCAACTATCGAGAGTGGTTTAGTTGACTTTAGGAATGTTAAGTCTGACAGATTTTTGTGTTAAGTAAGAATGTATGACTTTGTGATAATATCTTGTAAATATCTCCGCAAATTTAGGTTAGCATTTAATGTTTAGTAGAGTTAGCATGTCCTTGATGTATATGATGATGTAATCAGCTTATTTATAAGCTTTGTTTATGATTAATGAAAAGCAGACAAGTAAGATAAGACAAGACAATTGAAACAAAAAAACACTTGGCAAACATTCTCTGAAAAACTTGTCTCTGAGAATATCCTTGCGTTCTTTCCTTTGTATTCTCCAACTTGTAAACCAACAGAAGAATGAATGAATAACTACAGACTTTACGTCTCTGTACATTTTTGGGTGTTCTCAAGCATGAATGTACAATTGCACACTTCACGTCTCTATTACCTCTTTGAAATTCTTGTCTTAGTCCGTATTAATTAAATTTGGAAAATTTTCTTTATCATAGAGAACCATTAGAGACTTAGGAAGATTTGTTTATTACAGGGAACCATTAGAGACTTATTCCACTTGAAGTTGAGACTAAATCTCCAGGGCTTACACCAAGAAGGAACATATGAAGTGAGGATACTTGCTTGAGTGGGATCACTCTCTTGCTTACAACCTTAGATCCTGGGTCAAACCAAGTAGAGCAGGATTTGTCCAATTTGGGATTAGGCTAACACGGGCTTATTTTTAGGCTTCATGGAAGCATCCTTCGCCCAAAATAAGTCTACTTGGTTTGGTGGAGTCAAACCTTATAAACTGAATCCTAAACTTATTCACTAGACGATGTGGAAATGTGGAATGTGGCATACAGGCTTTGAAAGATGGACAATGAATCACTGTTTTATCTAATGATGGTCCTATTGTGGTAAACCTTGGCNAAATTATCAAGATTGGAGGTTCTTGATTTAAGTGGCAACTTTCTCGATAACAGTATATTATCATCTCTAGCTGGTCTCACTTCATTAAAAACACTACATCTATTTCATAATAGATTGAATGGAACTGTAATTGTTCAAGGTAAGCATATTGAAGAACATTTTTTAGAGTTTGTGTTTGTTGTTTTCCAGTATCCCAATAACATGTTTAATTTACTCAATTAATTTAGACAAAAAGAAAATGCTTTTTTAATTTTTTTGTCAAGTTAATTCTGGTTAAACTCTTCCCAGGAGTTGAATCGTTGAGGAACTTAGGGGAGCTGGATTTGAGTGGAAACCAGATTGGCAAATTTGTTTTTCCTAAAGGTAATAATGAAAATTACTAATGAAGATTTAACTCTTAAAGTTGTGCTTGGCAATAAACTACTAAAGAATAACAATACAGAATATTTAGCTCTGATTATTTGTTACCATGACTCACAGATTTCAAAGGTTTGAGAAAGTTGAATGCCCTTTATCTAGAGAATCTAAAAAATATTGATGGAAGCACTTTGTTACAGTCATTGGGGTCATTCTCATCCTTAAAGAAACTTGACTTGAGCTATAGTAATTTCAGACGTGGAACAATGACTACTCAAGGTAAGTTACAGTCGCTGCCAATTAAATAGCTTTTTATATAGCTTCATCTAATATACTAGTCTCTCCTTTTCAATAGAGTTGAAGAATTTGACCAATGTGGAAGACTTGATCTTGGATTATTCCTCTCTTCACATAACCATTCTTCGAAGCTTTGGAGCTTTCACTTCGCTTAAACGTTTGTCGATGAAGAACTGTAAACTTAGTGGCATCTTGCACAATCAAGGTAAATTTACAATGAACTTTTTGGAGATTATTTTATTTCTAATGTTAAGTTGAATATCTTATTTAGCGGCATCTCTGTTTAATGTTTATAGGTGTTCCTAATTTCAAGAATTTGAAATCTTTATTCATGGATGGCACTGCCCTCAACATTAGCTTTTTCCAAATAATAAAGCCCATGGCTTCTCTTGAGATTTTATCATTGGCTAGTTGTGGACTCACAGGCACACTGCCTAACCAAGGTAATTAATTATTAATCATTTTATCATTAACATAAATTAATATTTTCGTATATGTCTTTGTTTTATATTCATTAGTTAATAAAGGTTTTACTGTATTTTTAGGTCTGTGCAAGCTGAAGCAACTAAAAGAGCTGTATATGAACAATAATGAGCTAAGGGGTACCTTGCCTTGGTGCTTGGCGAATTTGACTTCTCTTCAAGTATTGAATATCTCTTTCAATGAAATTAATGAAAGCATCTCCTCATCACCCCTCAAACATCTAATATCCATCCAATATCTTTTCGTGTCACACAATCACTTCAAAATCCCAATTTCACTTGAACCTTTTTTCAACCATTCGAAACTTAAGAAGTTCTATGGTGAAAATAACCAAATATATAAAGAAATTGAGTCGCATTCTTTGGCCCCACGATTCCAATTAAATTCCTTCGTATTGGGTGGTTATGGAGATGGTGGCACATTTCCCAAATTTCTTTATCATCAATATGACTTGGATGAAGTTGATCTCTCTCACTTAAATTTAAAGGGAGAATTTCCAAATTGGTTGTTAGAGAACAACACAAAACTAGAAACACTTCTTCTAGTCAATAACTCCCTTTCTGGACCTTTCCAATTGTCAATTCATCCTCACCAACATTTGACAAATTTAGATATCTCAGTCAATTTCTTCCACGGTCACATTCCAATTGAGATTGGGGCAATTCTACCAAGGTTAATATGTTTAAACATTTCTATAAATGCGTTTAACGGTAGCATTCCATCTTCTATTGGTGACATGAACTCATTGGAAAGTCTAGACTTTTCCAATAATGAATTTTTAGGTGAAATACCTGAACATTTGGCCATGGGTTGCTTCTCATTGCGGTTGCTAGCGTTATCAAACAACCATTTGGAAGGTCACTTATTCTCTAGAAATTTTAATCTGACAAAGTTGATGTGGTTACAATTGGACAACAATAACTTGACTGGATATATCCCAGAAAGTTTGTCTAATTGCTCTTTGAAAGAATTGTATCTTGGCTATAACCATTTTAGTGGTAAAGTCGCAGGGTGGTTGGGAAACATGTCAGATTTGGTAGATTTTATGATGCCCAATAACGAACTTGAAGGTCCAATTCCAATGGAGTTCTGTAAACTTAATTTTCTTGAAATTTTGGACCTTTCGGAGAATAATATCTCTGGGTATTTACCATCTTGTTTACAACCTTCCAAAATCAAACAAGTTCACTTGTCAAGAAATAGGTTACAAGGACAACTCAATGATACATTCTATTATAGCCTTTCTTTGGAGACATTAGATCTTCACCATAATTTCTTCACCGGTAACCTTCCAAACTGGATTGACAGGCTTTCTCTATTACGTTACCTCATCTTGGGTAATAATAACTTGGAAGGTGAACTGCCTTTGCAATTGTGCGAGTTAGACCAATTACGTCTTATGGATCTTTCTCATAACAATTTTACAGGTTTCATTCTTCCTTGCTTAAATATGAGTGAACGCTATAACAAAGGTTATGATGCTGCAACTCTAACTTCTGGTTTTCTGGATCAAGTTCCTGCTTACAGCCCTTTGCCTGCATTTGCTTATTCTCAAATTGGGCCTCCAAGTATTGAGGAAGAAACAATAGATTTCACAACAAAGAATACGACATACTCTTACCTGTGGAGAATTCTCATGTATATGTCTGGAATCGATCTTTCTAGCAATAAACTAATAGGTGAAATTCCTCATCAGATAGGAAACCTTACTATGCTCCATAGTTTAAACTTCTCGCATAACAACTTGACAGGTCCAATTCCTTCAGAAATTTCAAACCTCAAGGGAATTGAGAGTTTGGATCTTTCCTACAATAACTTGAATGGTAAAATCCCTCCTAAGTTTGTTGAGCTTTCTAATTTGGCGGTTTTCGCAGTAGCACACAACAACTTATCAGGTAAGACCCCTGAAAGCGTTAACCAATTTGCAACATTTGAGGACATTTGCCTACGGGGAAACCCTGCTTTGCGGACTTCCTTTGTCAAAAATATGCAAGGAAATTGAATCACCTCCAACTTCAGTAGTTAATGAGCATGAAGATAGTAACTTCATTGACTGGGGCATGTTTTACATTAGTTTTACAGTGTCTTACATAATTATGCTCTTGGGGGTTTTTGTTGTTCTGTATGTAAATCCTCGTTGGCGGCAAGTATGGTTTTATCTTGTCGAAAAGTGGATTACTTCCTCCTACTATTTCATTGTAGACTATTTCCTTTGACAATTTGTGATCAAAATATGTCCTTGCATTATATGTACCCTTAATTTTCTATTTTAATTCGAATCATTCAGTAAGCATATTTCCAACAACAAACTGTCGGGTAAAATTCCTCCTCAAATTGGTAACCTTACCAGGATTGTTACACTAAATTTATCCCACAACAAACTGACAGCGTCCATCCCAAAGACATTTTCAAACCTTAAGAAAATTTACTGGCGATGGGTGTGGTTTTATCATGTTGTAGATCATCTCGCTAAGCAGTCTTGTCATTAAAGTATGTGGCTTCATATCACCATATATGAACAGTTCTTATGTATTTTTCTTTTCCAATGTCACCTGATGTAGCTGCAATCATATGGTTTATTGATTGGAACTTCACATATACAGAGCCATATAATAGTGTACTTTAAAATGACCTACTGTTTTAAAGTTAAACCATAAAGAAGGATATAATTGTGTTTTGAACATCTCACTAAGAAATTTTAAAGATGACTACATAATTCAAAAGTATTCTCCAATACAATGCATGCTCTGTTTGATGAAACTATCGCCCTTGCTTTCACTTAGATATAATATCTCTGTATATATTCTTCACAAATAGACTTTGGTGTAATTTCACTCTTGGTTGAGTTTGGATTCTCCAAGTTTCTGGGAGAAATTGCTTTATTTGAGTTCATACAAGTGTTTGAATAGGATCCAAAAACAGAGTCATTGACATACTGTTGCTTTTTGTTTAGAAATTTAAAGTTGACAAATTTGTAAAATTTCGTAAAATTAACTCATTCTCTCATGTGTAAACAAAATATATAGCTTGAATTAATGTCTTGACGTAAAAAATGAGTTTGGTAAATTTTTGTCTTATTTTTATAAAAATGGCTGTATATATATATAATAGTGTGCTGAGATCAAGTGAAACTAAAGTCTATTAGATATGTAATGAGATTATATGGAATAAACAACCATTTTATCAAGTAAAAATATGTTTTTGTAGGATATTATATATGCTAAATAGAAAACATTTGACGAATCAATGTGTGTATAGATATATAGGACAGTAGTTGTTAATAGAAGTTAATTCCTATCGTAAATGACATTAATTCACAAGTTGATATATTTATTGTTTCTTGTTCAAATTAATTTTCTAGAAAAAGCTCACACATACATGCAAAAATCAGTGGCCAATTCAAGGAATTGTCCATGTCAAGTGAAGTAGAACATCTAGCGGAGCCCAAAGGTTTTAATTGAGCATGCCTCATTAAAGCAGTCATAACTTTTGATCTGAGAGGAGTTACAGGGCTCGTAAGATAACGACAGAAAACTCTTTTCGAGCCCGATGACATAGCAATTGCTTTAGCCGGTTAGTGGTCATTTTCGAGGTCAAAATCCACCGTTTTGGTGTGTTTTGGGACTATTTTAGTTTTCAGCGCATTTTTCTTATTCTATTTCTGGTTTTTCCTGTTTCAATTAACTTAGATTTTGTTTTCTTTTGTTATTAGGAGTCTTATTAGGGTTGGTTGTCACCCTATATAAACTTATTTTTAGTCTTGGATGTTATTCAATGAATTATTCAAATTTTATCTCAGACTTTGAGACTTAAGTTTCTAGATCGAGACTTGTTTATCAACCCTAAAGTTATAGTCGAGTGCTATCCTTATTTATTACGCTAACTTGCCGCATCATCAAGATGGATCAACAAAAAAACAACTCAAAGGAAATCAATGGTGAAAAATATTAATAGGTAGGTATCGATGAATTGTTTATGGTGAAACGAGGATTTTTAGACTTGGATTTTGAAGCTCCAAGTTATAATTGAACGATTCGTCAAGAGTCTCCAACTTTGAGAGCTCTAGAGTATCTAATGGTATTTGACCGGAAAAGTTAGAATTAGATGGGTCCATATATGATAATTTGGAAAGATTCATGATTTCAGAAGGGATTTTGGACCCAGTGAAGTCATTATCAGCCAGGTTAAGCCAATCGAGATGCACAAGGTGGAAGAGAGTGCTGTTGGAGTTGATAGAACCATAAAGACTTTCCTTGAACTGCAACAAGGAAAACCGCTCATCATCATGACAGAGTGCTTGCATAGAAAAAGTAATCTAATTGTATAGATTAAGCTTGATGCCCAATTGTTTTTGTTCATGCTTTGAATACATTCCATTTCTATATATGGCACCGGCAGTGGGGCTTTGCAAATTCTATATCCCTCTTTAACTTAATACATTTATTGATTACATTTTTTAAGAATAATCTATTGTAAAGATTAATCTCCTAAAACAATTGCAAATATCTCACCTCCATTTCAATCTTGTCCAGGCCACTCATCTCAATTTTGTCCAACTACCTATTACATTTGACATATTTTTTTGGTCCAATGTGACAATGTTTTGAGTTGGGACAAACCCGTTTCACATTTTAAGTGCCTGTATAAGTATATTCATGTCGACAACTACAATGCCATTCTGGCTCAAGTAAAGAATCCCAAGACAACCCTCTTGGCTCAGCTTCTTGTCATGAAAGTATTCCATTCATTTGTTGGAAAGATTGGATTTTGGTTTAGAGAATTTGCGAAATTTAATCCCTTTCCAAGCTTAGTCCACTAAGAATTCAATTTGGCAACAAATCACAAATGAAAAAACAAAAACAAAACAAATCATAAAAAAGAGGTAGCGGGAGCAGAAATCAAGACACAGATTCCGCTTTGAGTAGACGCAACTTGAGGACTTCATCACAGCCTCATTGCATTCAGCATTGAAGAAAGAGAGAGAATTTGGGCACTTATGAAGAATTAGAAGAAGCAAGATGAAAAATATTGAATTTGATTATTTCCAAGATTAAGAAATTCTAGCTCTGTTCAAGAAGAGCTGGCAACTCACCTGAAAATTTATTTCCATTTAAGTGTAGAAAAGTGATCTTGGTAAGATTACCAAGTGAAGACGGAATTAATCCAGAAAATCTGCAATTACTCATATCCAGGATCTGTAAGGAATTAAGATTCCCTATTGAATATGGAATCTCACCGGAAAATCTGGTGCTCGAAACTCTTAATTCTTCAAGAGGGCTATTCTTTTCAAATTCTGGCAAGGATCCAAGGAGATGTGGATTCAACCGCACACTGAGAATGCGAAAGTTGGGTAACTGGAATATCTTTGTAGGGAATTTACCTTGCAGTGGCACCCCTTGAGAGACAACACAGTCAACAAAGATAAATTTGCCAAGATACGAGGTATCGGAGAAGAAATATTGACATAATTAAGATATAGGACTTTGAGGTGGGTTAACTTCTCAAATAGGCTTATTAGACCTGGCTTTTGGAGCTCCAAGTTAAAATTAGACGTCAAGTCAAGGGTCTCCAAATTTGAGAGCTCTAGGACCTCCCACCCATGGTATTTGTCCAGAAAAGTTAGAATTAAATAGGTCAAGATATCTCAACTTGGAAAGGTTCTTGATTTCAGATGGGATTTTGGAGCCATTGAAGTCATTATCAGCAAGGCTAAGCCATTCGAGATGGACAAGGTGGAACAGACTGCTGCTAGAGGTGATGGAACCATAGAGGCAGCTACTAGTAAGGTTAAGCCCGATCAAATGACCAGTAATCTCATTGCAGGTGATGCCGTCCCATGAGCAGCAGTCTTTATCAGCCTTCCACAATGCAACCTTGGGATAAGCAGAAGGACCATAACAAGTAGACTCATTGATAATTAGGCTTTCCTTGAACTGTAACAAGGAAGACCTCTCATCATCATGGCAGAGTGGTTCCACAGAAGATGTAAAATGAGCAAGGAGTGTAAGATGAAGTAATGAGAGCCAAAGAAGTAAACGTATAAATGAGAAGAAACATGAGGATAAACCCATAATGTAAGCAAGTAAATAGATTAGATAATGTAGATCTGGTGCTGAAGCATTGTAGGAGATTGGAGATGAATATATAGTCGGGTTGCCAGTATTGTTGTGAAAACAACCCAGCTGTATATACGTATTGCAACTTCAGCTTCAGAATAGAAAGGGTCAAAGACTTGTGAAAGTTGAGTCAAGTGGCCTGTGGCCCTAAAAAGTCAGCATGGATAGTGACATTCAGTGAAACTTAAAGCTGCATCCTTTCTCCTTCCCCTTTCACTGACAGCTGAACCTAATGACTGAGATATAAACATGAGTACACTCAACCTAATGACTAAGATATAAACATGAGTACACTCAACCTAATGACAGCACACCAAAACTTAGTAATCACGGAGCATTGAACTTTTGGTGCTCGATTATGATTTTCATTGAAATTTCATGACCCAAAGTGCTCCATAAAATCACAATTAAGATGAACTCAGAGTTTTAAGTGTAATCTCTTGAGAAGATTAATTTCCAATCGCACATCTCAAAAATATCTTATCTCCAATTCTCCATTTCAATCTTTCGACTGGTCGAACTTTAATATAGCTTTTCGTTTTAACTGTCTCACCAATCCTGCTGAAAAATTAGTATTATCTTCTTTCATTCTTTTTAATTTTAACCAAGTTAGCCTTCATATAAAACTATTTTGTTTGTTTCTTTCGAGTTTTCTATAGGCTAGAATTTCTAAAACATATAAAGCAATCAATTTAAACCATTCAATCTCCAATCTTATTCAATATTCTTCAACGACAGACTACAACTTTTTATTTATTTATTTATAAGAACTCACAAGCAATGTGTGATCGTTTACATTTGTTGCCCAAAAGAAATGATACTGATACAGAGCTTAGTTAAATGACAATGATTTCTCCATCCATTGATAATTTTTATTTGAATATAATATGGGGCATTATTTTATTTACAATATCCACTAATATATAAAATTTATATGTTGAAGGTTAAATGAAAAAGAGAAGAAGAAGATAAAGGTATTTTAATATTGGAATAAAATTTTATTGATTTATAACATTAAAAAAAAAAAAAAAAAATACACTTTTGGCTCAAGATTGGAGGAACATATAAGATGGGCCCAAAACTTATGAAATCAATTAAAAGGTCAGGATGGTGCCTTAGACAATAGAGAAATGTTATAGTCACCGAAAGTAGTATACTGAATTTGTACATCGAATGATATGACGAAATCCTGACCATCGATTAATATTAAATTATAATTAATAAACGATCAGAATTACGTTACGTAATTCAATGCACTACTTTCGGTGACTGTATTATTTCCCTAGACAATAATGTAAAACAAGAGCAGTGAACTGGACAAACGTGAAAGAAGGGCCAAAGACTTGAGGAAGTTTGATGAGTGAAGTGCTGTCTAAAGAAGTCGGCATGAGCAGTGAAATTGTCTTCAAAAGTCACAGGAAAAAGACTAAATAAATTTCATAGAAATTTCAAGAACCATGATGGCAATGGACTGTTTGACTGGTTAAACCAAAGCTTGAAATTGATTTTGTTTATGCTTTGAGTACTTTCAATATATATAGCAACATTGCCCAAAGGGGCTTTGAAAATTCTAATAATTCAACCTTTAACTTCATACAATAATTGATAGAACTTTTAAGTGTAATCTCTTCTGAAGATTAATTTTCAAAACATCTGCAAAATATCCAATTTCCATTTCAATCTTGACTTGTGGCACCTTTGTATGGCTTTTGGGTTCAACTCTCCAGCCAATCTCCGCAATCCCACCGCAAGTGCCATGCGTTTTGGCTCCAGTTGAGAGTCCAAAGACAACCCTCTTGGCTCAGCTTCAAGTCATGAAAATATTTCATCCATTTGTTGGAAAGATTGGATTTTGGTTTAGAAAACTTGCGAAATTTAATCCCTTTCCAAGCTTAGTCTACTAAGAATACAATTTGGCAACAAATCACGAACAAAAAACAAAAACAAAAACAAAACATAAAAAAGCGGTAGTGGGAGCAGATATCAAGACACAGATTCCGCTTTGAGTAGACACAACTTGAGGACTTCAATGGCTGCAACATGGATATGTATCCAGGTTGGCCCACCAAAAAAGGGGTATCCAAGAAAGAGCCCAACTCAACGCCTGAAAACTTCATCACAGCCTCATTGCGTTCAGCATCGAAGAAAGAGAGACAGAAACTTTGGGCATTTATGAAGAATTAGAAGAAGCAAAAGGGTCATTGGGGTACATATACATATATGAACACACATACATAGACGGAAAGAGAGACTTTTGGCCATTTTTCAATAGCCTCAGTCTAAACAGTGTTACTTTCCCAAAATCGGTACAAGCAGAGAGGCTCAAATTCGCCTTTTATCAGAAATACCCAGAAGCCACCTTGCCATGATCTGCATAGATTTCTCACCATCTGATCAATTGACTTAGTTAACACCATCATCACACCTCATCACGCTGAGACAGAGATGGGAAGCTTTAGAACATTATAATAAACTTCTGCACACTGAATTGCCCCTCACTTTTACCATAATAAAAATTAAAAAAAAAAAAAAAATACAGGACTAAACTAAACACAAACAAGTATCCGCCGCAGCTGCTGCCCCTGCCGACTGTCCACAAAGCCGCCACGTTCTCCACGGATGTAGTCCAAGATGAATCAAGGGTTCCACTCTTGGACTCGAAAGATGAACATTGGCTTCAGTCTCCAATTCCAAAGATTGAATAAAGAAATAAAGCTAATTATATTCTGTTTCTCTCGATTGTTTTCATGAGTTTCCCTTCGAAAACCATCATAAGCCCTTTTTTTTTTTTTTTTCCTTACAGGAAAAGCATGCTCAAGACCATAAAAAACAGACTTATTGATAATTAGGCTCTCCTTGAATTGCAACAAGAAAGAACCCTCATCATCATGACTGAGTGGCTGCACAACAGAAGAAAAATGAANACACAAACAAGTCTCCGCCCAGCTGCTGCCGCCGCCTACTCTCCACAAAGCCACCTCATTCTCCACGGATATATTCCAAGATGAACCAGATTCCACTCATGGACTCAAAAGATGAACACTGGTTTCAGTCTCCAATTCCAAAGATTGAACAGAGCTTCCTTCACTTTTCATGAAACTTTCTTTTGATAATAACGAGCTTAATGACAAGGATTCCTAATTTTTGTTTTAAAAAAAAAAAAAAAAAAAAAAAAAAAAAATATCATAATACATTCTGTTTCTGTGAACTCTGTTTCTCTTTATTGTTTTCATGAGCTTCCCCTCGAAAATCATCATAAGCCCTTCCTATTTTCTTATAGGAAAAGAATGCCGAAAACGATAACAAGCAAACTTATTGATAATTAGGTTCTCCTTGAATTGCAGCAAGGAAGAACCCTCATCATCATGACACAGTGGCTGCACAATAGAAGTAAAGTGAACAAGTAGTGGTCCTTGCAAGTTGCAACTTATTTGAACCTAGGTTCAAAATTACGAATGATTCCATGCTTGAGTCCAAAAACCATTTATGAGGCAGCAAAGTCGAATTTCAAATTCATTAAAGACTATACTCCCAATAAAAGATGGAATCAATCAAAAGAGAGAAAAAATATAGAGTTATAAGACTTTTCTATTCTAATTTTTCAACGCATCATACTCTGCGAGAGAATCAATGAAATATAAGGTAGAATCTTGAACTTTTACAACACTATTTATAAAAATATTTGAGAAGTAGCAAATAAACCCTGATGTTAAAAATCTTGAAAAACTTCAATCCTAAAAGTTAATGAAGATTCTTTCATATTCACGAGGTTCAAGAAACAAGAAGTATCAACATAGAGTACTTTGATCATCAGCAACATCAAAGGAACTTAGGCTTCTTCTTATGTCTAGCTACATAGCTAGACTCGACTTGAGTGAGACATGGTGACTCCTCATAATCATAGTGTGTATAAAGTGGCACTTTCTCTGTTGTTGTCTCACCTTCGAGTGGATGCATTGACTCTGCTGGTGTCACAGACCCCTCCAAATTGAGAGTTGAAGGCTCCTCTATATGAATATCATTACTTTGTGATGGAGTTATGAGCGATGCTACCACCACTTGTGGGGATGAATGTTGCAATGTTATTACTGGTTCCATTGCCTTTTGTTGTGTGCCAAGTGCTCTACCTCGACCTTTGGCTCCGCCTCGCCCTCTCATTGATAGAGATTTAGTTTTGTTTGGCATTTGTGCTATTAGAAGTGGTAGCCCCTCCATATCATTAGCTTGTGAAGGAGATAGTGGTGACATGGTTATGGTAGGTGCTGGTACCGTCTCAAGGTGTCGAATCTCCCCAATCATTTGCAACACACGAGTGCACGTAATCCGGATATCTGTCAATGACTGCATAGCACTTTCACTGGTAAAAGTACTAAGGGTTGCAGTGCATTGATTATGAATATTTGTCAAGCTATGGACCTTCCATTCCAAACATAGAAATCCAATCAATATTGACCGATAAGTAATACAAGATCAATAGTTAAATAACTTACCAGTAAATGTGACATCCCACTAGCAGGCTGAATTCGCTTATGAGGTCTTTGAGTGAGTGGGGTAATCAAACGACGAGTTATGTTTCGGTACCACTTCATGTACGGATCATGATAATCCATAGTGCTCTCCTCAGGCTCAGCGGTAACTATACTCTTCTCCCGAGATGCCCATAACTTAATATATTGTTGATGATATGCCTTCCAATTGCAATGATGTCTACCCCGTCTATCAATTGCATGGATTCTCACCTCAGTATCACACTGCATAGGAATTCCTTGTTTGAGACCAAACTGGCGTAAAACTCTATCAGGACAATGCCACTCAACAATGTCAAAGCAGATAAGTGGAGCAATTGTCCTCCACACATGCTGGTCTGTAACACATACGTCTATTGGGGACACAAGTAACTCAGACGTGTATGGCTGCCATATCATCTGAATTTTGAAGGGGAAGTTCCACTTAAAAATAGGTACTAGCACAACCATGTGCATCTCATCAAATGAACAAGATCATAAAAGAACACAAAGTCAAAAGTAAACCTGATCATATTTTTGTTGATCAAGCTGGTCTCGATAAAATATCAATGCCCTCTGAGGGTTATCTCTGCGGATGACAGGAGACCTCCACCTGTTCCAGAAGAAAACAGTTCTAAGACAACTAAGTATATTGAAAAGCACATATTAATGAAATAGTAAGCTGTACTACCTGTATCCTAATGGATCTGCAGGTAATGTCTTCTGATTGACCATCTCAACTTCTGAAACTTGCACCTTATTCTTTACAGCTTCACCATCTGGAACAACTGGATCCTGCTCTTGGGCAACAAATCTCTCAGGGCGACCAATATGCAAACGCTCCCACGCCCATAACTATAGGAATAGGAATTTACATAATATCAAGAGAAAAAATATTATTATGCTTTATATGTTAGACTTGAAAGTATATTTTAGTATGCATACTTGTAACAACATTAGAGGACCAGAAACTTCACTAGCCCCCTTCTTACTAGCACGGCAGAGTTCACGATAGAGGTAGGCTAGTATAGCACTACCCCAGCTAAATTTCCCTACATACTTAAAATCCCTTAGAAGAGGTAAAAATATCAATTGCACATCAGAACCAGATTTATCTGCAAAGAGAGACCCCAATAAGCCTAAGATATATGCCCTAGCATAGCACTGCGTAGTTACAACATCAGCATCTAATGGCAGACACTGGAAATGGCCTCGTAACCATCTAAGCTTCAGGGTTGAACCATGAAGAACACTAGGATCTGGTCTCACTCCTAACAACTCTTCACAGAGGTCGTCCCACTGGAGGTCAGCACTACCAGTCACTGGATAACCATGTATACGAAGGCCTAACAACACTGCTACATCTTGTAGCGTGATAGTACTCTCACCCACAGCAAAATGAAAGGTGTGTGTCTCTTGTCTCCATCTCTCAACCAATGCAGTGACCAAGGGCCAGTCAAGTTGAATAAAACCAATTCTGTATACCCCATAGAACCCAGCCTCAACAACAAAATGACGAATACGGTGATCCAATCGCCACTCCCGCATCATTGTACCCAATCTCTGTCTACATGTTAAGACACCAGGGTCCTGCAATCAAAGTACTGCATTGACTTCACTTTTCTTCACTTATTTTGTATTGAACCATTCACTACTACAGATGGCTAGAGAATGAAGTGATACTAACCTCCCCTACCCATATGGCTTCAGATCTATGCTGGTCTTGCAACACAAGCACAGACTTGTCACTTGGCCCTGGGTCTAAAAAGGTATCAGAGTTGGCATTACATTTGTCCCCATCTACTACTATCTGTATAAAGAATTGTCACAACTCTTACTTTAAAGAAAAGAAAATTAATCCTATGACATCAAGACATTTATGTATATTTACCTGATTATCATTGAAGACTGACGTTGTGACGTAATTATCCACATGGGTTTGTGTTGTGATATTTACTTGGCTATCTCTGCTTGCTGGTTCTCTTTCCAAATACAATTCCAAACAATTTGTTCCAGGCTTTCGTGCCATATCAAATACAATATCTAAAGACTCATCATCAGCAATGGGCACAGGTATGAATTCCCGACAAGCTAGATACCTGCATATGATCTTCATTTTAATCAGTTGCCTGTCAAACCCAGTAATCTCATACATCTTTTCCAGCAACTGATTATGTGTTGTTTTGTAGCTAACCCTGGTAGGCTTTGGGACAGCACCTTCATAAGTAATGCCTTGTGCTCCATTTGTTATCCTCCCATTCCAGTAACACATTAGTGTGACATTTTCTCTAGCCATCTTCTACCATTCACTAATGCAATAATATCAGCAGCATCTATACAAAGCTACAACAATGCACATATAATTATCAGAAAAGGAAACAGAACAATCAGTTATCATCCCAAAAAAGATGGTCCATTTGCCATCATCCTAGATACACAAAAACTAGTTGATTTAGAATCTTGAAAACCCGCCTACCGTTCATATCAGAACTAACCGTCTAGGCCATTGATAAAGTGCTGTCGATGAACTTTCAAACCATTAAATTTCTGTCAACAAAGCTTTCAATTTACAAAAGTTATGCTAAATGAACAATCTATCATTTCTTGCGAGCACAAGCGCAATCACAATCATTATCTTTCATCAACTTTATTCAAGTTACAGCACTTCTGTCAGTTCAATAAATTGCGCGATTACAAAAGGAACAATCTTAATGCCTGGGTAGACCCATTTAAATGATAAAACTAAATGGTTCTGTTCACTGAGGCAAAATAACAAACAGTTAGAGTGCAAATAAACAAACCAAAAGAAATTTAACTTCTTACATGAAATACCAACTGGGATATATAAGAAATATAATTTAACACTGCGAAAATTACCTAAACTTGAATTTTTTGATGTCTGATTTGAGCTAGCTCTGTTTAATTGTTTCCTCGGAAGAATTGCGAGCTGTTTTCACGAGTTTATTAATTGACTAAAGGTTAAAGCCGAGTATATACATGGCGTTTATACTGAGAATCTGTAATCACACGTATAATGTTTTAGCGGTTTTGAAATAGCAGTCCTTAAAGGCCGCTAGATGAAGTCGCAAATGGCCGTTAATAAGATTTTGTCGTTAATGATAAGACTTCAGATTTTTATTATTTTATCATCTTAAGGTTAACTTAACATAGACATGTACAGCTCCATCCCAAGACATGTGTCCAATCTATTTCACGGGCTTGCACCGTATAAAGCGCGAAACATAATTTTCCGACCAAGTTTAGTTGGAAGAGGATTGTATAGACAGACATCTTATAGCAGCAGTGACGACGCCGATTAACTCTGTGAAGAAAAAGAAATAAAGCTAATTATATTCTGTGATTGTTTTAATGAGTTTCCTCGCATAAACCATTCCTTCTATTTTTCTGGCAGAAAGCACCTGATCAGAACCATTTTCCAACCAAATTCATATAGAAATTTGGAGCCTGCAAGATCTTCTTCTTTCTTTGAGGACTGAAAACTTTATTTTAGTTTTTGTTATGCCCATTGCCCTCTTCAGGGAGGTATTCATTTTTGTCATAGTACTAGGAAATGGAATCCTGGAATGATGCCTTATATCTATGCAAACCATAAAGGTAATATGCCTCTTTAACTTAATACATTTATTGACCAACATTTTTTCAAGATTAAGCTCCAAAAACATCTGCAGTATGTGATCTCCATTCCAATTTGCTCCAACATTAGACTAAATTTTTGGGTCTAATGTGACAATGCTTCGAGTTGTGGCAAATCAATTTCACATTGCAAGTGCCTGTAAAAATGTATCCATGTTCACAACCACAATGCCATTTTGGCTCAACAAAACGAAAAAACAAAAACAAAAAATAGGTAGTGGGACCAGAATCGAGGCTGAGATTCAGCTTTGAGTGGACACAAGTTGAAAGTGAAACCCTTGAGGTTGAGGAGTTCAATGGCTGCAACATGGAGATATATCCGAGTTGCCACGCCAAGAAACGGGTCGCCAAGAAAGAGCCCAACTCAAAGCCAGAAAACTTCATCACAGCCTCATCGCATTCACCTTTGAAAAAAGAGAGAGAGACTTGGGAGATTTATGATGAATTAGAAGAAGCAGAGACTCGCGGCCATTTCACAATAGCCTCAATCTAAAGAGTGTCATTACTTTGCCAGAGACCACAGAGAAAAAGAGAGGCTCAGATTCGCCTTTTATCAGACAAAGATCGAAACATTACCAACATGGCTGCAGCAACGAGCACTTCTCAAAAATACCCAGAAGCCGCCACGCCATGACGAGCAAAGATTCCCCACCGTCGGATCATTTCACATAGAAAACAGCGTCATCATCACAGCCTCATCACAGAGAGAGAGAGAGAGAGGTCAGAGCGTGTTCTGTTGTTGTGTTGGGAAGCTGAGAATGGTATCCTTGCTGTTGGGGATGGTGGGTATCCTTGCTGGTGTAAATCACTGGCTTCACTGACTAGTCAAAGGAAGGGACAATGACCCTTCGAGAGCAAAGCCTCATTCTTAAAAGTAATGAGTTTGGAAGAGTAAACGGCATGTTCCCACCCAAGGTTTTCGGAAATGGCAAGTTCCAGTCCCACCCCTCATATCATAAATTCCAGATTCCCAAAAACTTTTGTGAATTGATCTGATGTATTTATTCCTACTGGAACTTGGTTCTGTTTTGGTATTCCCAATTTACCCTTGCGTTGGTTATATTGTGTTATTACTAATTTACCCTTGGGTTGATTCTAAATATCCGAATCACCTACTAGTTGCATACATTCATACTATTTCCCAACCGTTCGCATGGGTTCCAAAGATCAACCAGAGGTTCCACTCATGGACTCCAAATATGTATCAGTGATTCCAATCTTGAATTTCATGGATCAATAAGAGCATCCACCATTTTCGTGAAGCTTTCCTTCATCAAGAGAGAGCTCACTCAAGTGGTATCTACTTTCGAACCAAAGAAATTTTCACTTTGAAAAATGTTTGGTGGAGCAGTTTCTTTAAAGAATTTTTTGTGATTTATTTATGTATTTATACTACATTTTGATGGCCAGATTATAGGTACATTGCAAGTTTTTAAATACTTGTACCATCTCTTGGTGTGCAGAAAATGCAGACGCCTAGGGTTCTTGTTTTCTTAGCTTCGTATGTCTGGGCGATATTTGGTTTGCATGAAAGAAGTGTGAAGATGGCATCGACTGCAATTTGGTTCGACTCTGGCTTGTTTTTAAGCATTAATCTGTGTGGCATTGGTGAAGACACAATGTAAGAAGTATTATCAACTATTGTTAGTGCTCAGTTTTCTTTCTTTGCTGCTTCAGATTTGGCAAGTCTGGAGTTGGATTGAAATGATTAATTGAAGCTTTGGTTCAGGGGAAGAAGGATGATCTGAAGGAGCAGCTTTGTGTTGAGAAAGATGAGAATGAGAAGGCAACTCGGGATTACTACTTGCAATGTTGGTTAGAGGTAATTTTGTTTCTTCTTCTTCAAATTTGATCATACATGAATGAAATTAATTTTATTTTGTCTTATATTTTCTGGTTTGTTTCAAGAACGGGATGAGCAATTCACATTAAGATGAACGGTGATTGGTATTATGATGGATTGATAACAACAAACGATTGTGAGCAATAGAAAAGAATGATTGATGTATTACTGTTCAAATGTTGTATCACCAATCCTTTCGAGACATTGTACTCGAACCCTACATCAAATTACTCTATAATACAGTCTTATAACTTCTTCTCTTGTTCTTTCTTTCATATTTTTTACAAACCGCCTTTCATAGCGTGGCAAGCATTACTTTGTTCATCAGTGAAAGTGGCAAGCATTGCTTTCTTCATCATCTGTTTAGTGCCATTATATATTTAACAATACTATGGATAACAAATGAAAATGAAAATAAATTTGAGTTTTTTAATTTTTTTGGAAGATAATAAAATATAGAAAAATGATATCCTTACAAAGACCTATACAAAGAGGACTACAAAATGACATCAGCAAGAAAAAAAAAACAAAGAAAAAACAGAAAAAGAGAGAGAGAGAGAGAGAGAGAGAGAGAGAAGTCAGAAAACCAAGGGTGAGAATTGTCTTTGTATGTGTCTTTGTAAAACTAGCATTGCTCTAAAATATATGCTTGATATAAATTAGTGTAACACATTATTAGTAAAGATCAAATTACAATTATATGTTAAAAAAAAAAAAAATTCCTTTTTTTAATGACTAGACCCATTAAGCACCCTACAAGTCTAATATTTTAAATAAGTCACAAATATGGTGGCTGACTTTATGGTGTCAAAACCTTCTTTGACACTTAGGCCGACTTCTTGAGTTTATTATATTTAAAAATTTGCTAAAAAGTGTCTTAAAAAACACAACATTGCTTTCTATTTTTATAAATAAATGAAAAACAAGTCCAAAGGGTTGGTTTTACCATTTTATGTGTATAAGTTAACCTTTCTAAACTATGATTAACCACCTTTGGGTGGTCATGTGGGGTAATAAAGACATTTGAATGTATCACTCAAGTCAAGAAGTCTTGAGTTTCTTTCCTCTTGATTGCTCAGGAAGCCGTCTCACCATTATGAATTAAGAGTAAATGACTTTTTCCCACCCATGTGTTGGAAAGAATGGATTTTGATTTAGAAAACTTGATAAGTTTATTCCCTTTCCAAGCTTAATCTAACTTAGAATTCAAAAATAGGTAGTGGGAGCAGAAATAGAGGCTGGGATTCAACTTTGAGTGGACACAACTTGAAAGTGAAAACCCTTGAGGAGTTCAATGGCTGCAACTGTCATGGAGATGTATCCAGGTTGCCCGCCAAGAAACGGTTCTCCAAGAAAGAGCCCAACTCAAAGCCATAAAACTTCATCACAGCCTCATTGGCTGCATTCACCTCTGAAGAAAGAGAGAGAGAGACTTGGGATATTTATAATGAATTATTTGAAGCAAAGAGGTCATTTTGGTACATATACATACATGATCACACATACATACAAAGAGAGACGAAGAGAGACAGAGAGAGCGAAAGACACAGACTCTCGGCCATTTCACAATAACCTCAATCTGAAGAGTGTCATTACTTTGCCAGAAACCCCACAGAAAAAGAGGCTCAGATTCACCTTTTATCAGACAAAGATCGAAACTTTACCACCATGGCTACAGCCTCGCCTTTTTATAATTTTCTGTCAAACCATTAAATTTCTGTCAAAAAAGCTTACAATTTACAAGCACGATCAAGATCATTATCTTTCATCAACTTCATTCAAGTTACAGTACTTCTGTCAGTTCAATCTTGAGGCCAAGTAGACCCATTTAAATGATAAAACTAAATGGTTTCTGTTCGCTAGGGCAAAATAACAAATAGTGAGTGCAAATGAATAAACCAAAAGAAAATTAACATCTTGTAAGAAATACCAACTGGGATATTCAATAAATATCATTTAACACTGCGAAAATTACCTAAACTTGAATTTTTTGATTTTTGATTTGAGGTGGCTCTGTTTAATTGTTTCCTCAAAAGAACCGCGAGCTGTTTGCACGAGTTTATTCATTAATTAAAGGTTAAAGCCGAGTATACACGTGGCGTTTATATTGAAAATCTGTGGTCACAATTAAAATGTTTTAGCGGGTTTTGAAATACCGGTCTTTAGAGGCAGTTAAAGTTACAAAATGGCTGTTAAAAGACCTTTTATTTAAAAATAAATAAATAAGATTTTAAAACATCTTGAGTAGTATTTTTGAAATATTAAGTTGAATTGAGTTATTATTATAAGGTATGATTTGAAAATTAACAAAAAAACTCATAGGTTTGTTAATTTAGCTAAATACCCCAATAATAAAAAGTTTATAAAATGATAAAAACACTCCTACCTACCCACCCACAGTTGCCAGATTTTGGCCACCCTTGCCGGAATCTGGTGTCATTGCACACAACCGGTCAAATCTAGCTGGTTGTACTCCGCTATGTCCTTTTCCGACCACATCTGTGAAAAATGTCAAACTTACAGCCAAATCCAGCCACATCTGGCCATCAACAACGGCCATATATTAGCCATCGTTAACGGCCAGATATGGCCAA